AATTACACAGAAGGAGTTCTTCAAATCAACTTACCAAAATACATTGACTATAAAGAAGTGTATGATCCATTTGATTTTGTGTGGTAATTCATTAGTTTTATTCATTTTAATTTCATTTAATAATAATTTTCATTGTACAATTATTTTATTCTTTTGATTTAAACCATTATGTTTTATACAATAATAAATTTATAAAGAAAGATAGAAAAAAAAAATAATCTAAATAAAAAAAAAGAATTGAATGAATCAAACAAATAAATGAAAAAATACAAATAATAGATATATTCACAATTTGATGTTATGATTATTGAGAAGTGATTATTTCAGTGACCTCATTATGTTTTACTTTATATTAGAGTTTATTTCAAAAATATGAGATTGAGAATGTTATTCTTCTAATGTTTACAAGTGCTAAATGTTAGAATATTAATTCTTTTATGTTTTTAATGAGATTTGTTTGTAGTATTTTGTTAAATCGATTTGTAATTTTATTGTTTTTAATCTTCTTATTTTTCTTTACGTATCATTTTATTCTTATTATTACAGGTATTATTTCTACCTTATTATTTCTATGTTTTGTATTAATTTCTCTTATAATTATTTATATTTATGTTATAGATATAATTTATTTCATTATTGATATATTGATATATATCAACATCATTAATATATAATTTTTATCTTTGAAATTTTGATAATATATCTATTATTCTATCATCGATATAAATGAATATTAACCAATAATTCATTAATATAAATTATGGACATTTCATTATTATTATTATTACATTTATGAGGTGCATTAAAATCTATTTCATCAAATTCATTAAAATGTGTATTTATTTATGTTTATATATTTGTTTACACACATAGTCATGTTTGATATTTGACTATTCTTCATTATCATAGATATATGATATAGATTTATTTATTAGATATATTTACAATAAATTAATATATCAATATAAAGCAAATTAGAAATAATACATTCTATTCATAATTATTCATTCTTAAATCTTTATTACATTGATAAATACATTTAATTTTATATTTGATGAAATCTTTCAATACTTATAAATTCATATTATTAAATATACAATTTACATTTATACATTCATCACATTTATTTCAATTCATTTAAATATCATTTAATTCATTTATTACAAATCAAAATACATTATTTATATCACTTTTTCATTCATTTAATTATATTAATTCATTGAAATCAATCTACTTTTTGTTTTATTATGTGATTTATTTCTATTATAATACTGAGTGTTTCTATTTGAATTATTGATAAAATACTTATGATAATGAAAAAGAAAGAAATGATGAGTGAAATGATTCTTACCATTTACAAAGAAATTGTTATGATGATTATTATTATTATTATAGCTATTATATTCTATCAACATAAATAATACTTATTTTCATACATTCTTCTATCATTTATATTTCATGATTGATATTGATTTGTCATTCTTTTATTATTGATTTTAGTTTTTGTGGTGTCTTGTAATGCATCGTTTTCCAATACAAATAAAAGAAAAAAAGAAAGAGTACAAAGAATGAAATAAAATTAAAATTAACTTTAAAATGATATAATAATGAAATATAAAGAAAGTGATACAAAGAAATACCTAATTATATATATATTAATAATTTTATATAACTCTTCATTATTAGAATAATATAAAAGTAATTAATAACTAAAACCATTAATAAATAATAGAATATGTTATATCGAATTAATCAATTGTATTAGTACTATTTAATTGTATAATATTTAATTTATTCTTTTATTATTCTTTTTTTTAATATTCACAATTATTAATTAATATTTATCATTGAAAATGATATTATATAATTAACTCATAATATCTATTTATTTTATTAAATAACATTATTCAATTGATTATTATCATTTTTATTTCTTTTTTATTTTGATTTTCTTATTTATCTCAAGTTGTATTTAAATATAATATTACACATACTCTATTATATCAGAATAAAATTAAAATATAATTTTTTGAATACCTCCATTTTTTAATTTTAATAAAAATGCTCGAAGTGGAATTTGAGTCTATTCATCTTTCTATACCCGTCCCTAAAATGGGAACCTTAGACCACTCAGCTATTCACACTTTTCTTTTATTTATTAAATTAATTTATTATATTTTTATCACATATGTTTGTGTTTGTTTTTTGAACATAGCCTTTTTATCTGTACTTTATATTGTATTTTTTTTTTTGAGTAGTATTTTTGATGATTTCTTTATTTACATATTGGTGTTTAATCTATCAGTGTGGACTTGTGCTCATTGATTGTTTCGTTGTATTTGATTTTTTTGTAATAGGTATTTTCAAACTGTATTTATTTAATTGTATTTTGATAAAATAAAATTTGTTGAATAAAAAGTTGAAAGCAATAAACTAATATTAAAATAAGACCTTTCACATTTTTATTAAAACAAATTGTTTTATATTAAGTCTACTACTTGAATGAGATATTACATTCTATTCTTTTTCTAAATATCACTTAATTGTTCTCCTCATAAAAAATTACTTATTTATTTTTTTATAAAGTGCTGATGAATGACAACATATTTATAAGAATGTATCTATGATAACAATCACATTCAATAAGCTTTAGTAAAATATGAAGTTTTTATATATTTTTTGGTTATGTTTAATTTTTGTTTCTTTTTTTTCTTTGGTATCTTTTGTTTTCTTTCAAAATTCTTTTAACACTATTTGCCATTTTGATAGCTGTTCTTCTATTATATTTGTTGTGTATTAATCAGATACTTTTGAATAATTCTTTATAGAAATTTAGTTTCATTTATACTAGCCATTGTGTTTAGTTTCATTAATTAAATTCTCATTTATCATATTAATATTTCGTTAATTGTTCTAAATTTGTATTGAGATTAATTCGATGATTATTTTTTGATTTATTCAATGTTTCATTATGTTATGTAACTAAAAATTATTTCATATAAAATATTACTGTTAAATGAAAAGTCAATTGTAAGAATCTAAATTATAATTTAGTTATAAAAGAATAAAAACAATATCATATTATTGAATTCTATTTGAAAAAAATAAAAAGTTTTACTTTTTGAGTTTGTATTTCTTTTTTTTTTTAGTTGTTAGTTCAATACAAAGTTTGTAAATAAATTTTATTTATTAATTCTCTATTATTGAATTTCATTATTTCTTTATAAGTGATACAACTCATTATTAAATACACTGAATAATAACGGATAATAAATATAAATAATAATTGTTAAACCATTTATTAATAATGATATTTATTATGTAATAGTTAAAATAAAAATATACTTAAAGTTAATTAACTTAATTTTATTGAATTTTTCTTTTATTATTACTTCTTCAAACTTATTTTAAAGATTTTATCCAATCTTTAATTATTTGCTAAATATATTTTCCCTTTGTTATTGTTTATTACTAAAGAATTTTAAACCTTCTTAATATTTCTTTTATTCTTCCTTATTACTATTAATATTATCATTTGAAAAAGTGTATTAATCAATACCGTGTACTATTAATTGATTATTTATTAATTTAAATGCTATATATTCACAAAAATAATTCCATATATTCATGACTATTGTTTGAATATTAATTGATGCAATGATCTACTTACTTAAAACATTCATAAAGTGAATTAAATTCTATTAATTTTATTTAAATTTATATCTATCATATGTTACATACTCTATATTTTTAAACATATTCCTTTTCTTCTCTTTTAAATACTGTGAATAACTAATATCATATAGTATTACATGTTTAATACTCTCCCATCTTTAACTCTTTCATCATATTTATTATAAATATGAAATGTTTCAATATTAGGAAAGAACTTTCTTGAATAATCATTTAAAGGAATTAAATTAAAATGAAATCTTCCATATTTCATTTAGATCTTTTAATACCAATTTCTAAATTAATAAAATCATTATCATTAAAATATATTGATGTTATCATATTTCATTGTATTTCATTTTTCATCTAATGTTATTGTTTGTTGTTGTATTTCTTTCCGTTCTTCTTAATTTGAAAGAGAAATTTTTTTTAAGATTATCATTCTATTTTATTTTTATTAAAACTAATAAAATATGCCTTCCAAATTTTATTAATTTTCTTGTTAGTTATTGTACTCATTAAAATGATCCTTTAACTTAATTACTTAACAACTTAATGCCATGTTAATTATACATGCAATATTTATAACTACTGTTCATAATCTCTTCAGGGCGTTGTTTATTACTTATAGTTATTGTTTTATTTAATATTATTAACTTATCAAAAATAGGCCAAAAAGTATGTTAGTGAGGGACAATGCTATACTTAAATATTCTCTGTTAATAATAGAAAAAATTATAAAAATTGATTTTAAGAAAAGGCTATTAGAAAACCAAAAAAAGTAATTTAAAATGGATAATTGATAATGGTATAAGTTTTGGTGTTAAAAAATACAAAGTTTAAAAAGAAGAAAATAATTTTTCAATAACTTTTATTGAAAAAAATTATGTTCAAACAAATTTAATTAAAAAATATTTCCAAAAAAATTTTATTAATTTTTGTTAAATAAGACAAGTAAACATGTTTACAACATTTTAATGATTATAAAAATAATATTCATAACATAAAGTGCATTTTTTTAAAATTTAAATAAAAAAGATTTCTCCATTAAGTTATTTGCAATATAATTTATAAGATCCTTTTATTTTTGAGTTTAATTACTCCTTATTCATTCAAAAACCAATTCTTTTTCCATCACTGTAATAATCTAATCAATTTTTTATAAAACAGCTTCATAGAACAAACAAAATCAAAATTAAAATGATATAGATAAACAAAAAATAATGATAATAATTTAGGGTTTGAAAGAAAATTTCATTTAAAACCAAGAAATTCAAAAAGAAATAAAAAAGAAAATAAAGGAATCAAAAAAAAAAGAAAGGAAGAGATGTATTTAAAATCCTAATTCATGAGTGGATATACAACATTATTTAAAATAGTAATATTAGGAGATTCAAGGTTTGTTTAATGCTGTTGTTTAAAAAAAACAAAAATTTTTTTAAATAAAACAAAAATAATAAGAGTTAAGTGTTGGAAAAACATCATTATTACAACAATATATTACTAAAACATTTGCTGAACAAACTAAAACTACTGTTGGGGCTGATTTTATTACAAGAGAAATTGACATTGATGGAAAAGTTATTGCACTTCAAATTTGGGACACAGCAGGGAGTGAACGATTTTGTTCATTAGGGCCAGTTTTTTTTAGAGGAGCAGATTGTTGTGTATTAGTTTGTGATGTGACAAATGAAAGTACATTTGAACATTTAGACGATTGGAAAAAACAATTGTTTCAAAGTTTATCATTTGAAGATTTAAATAATTTTCCATTTGTTGTTGTTGGGAATAAAGTTTGTATTTCTTTAAAATTAATAATAAAGAAATATTATTAAATAAATAGTCTGATTGTAGTGATGAAGAAAGAGAAGTTAGTTTTGAAAAATTATCTCATTGGGGAGATGGAAAATACACTTATTTTGAGTGTAGTGCTAAAACTGGTTGGAACATTGATAATATTTTTATTGAAATTGCAACTCTTTTAAAAGAAAAACAAAAAATTAATTATTCTATGCCGTTTGTTTTTATTTTAATTTTTGTTGTTATTCATAATTTTCTTTATATTTATTTTTATTAGTGAATCAATTGAACCTTGTCGTCTTGAAGATGTTTCAAATATAAAGGTTAAAAAAGATTGTTGTTGATACTTTTTTTTATTTTGTTATAAAAAATATAAATATTTCAAATTTTTATATATTAAATTATAAAATATTATTAAGTTAATTATTATAAGAATTATTTAATGTATTAAAATTTATAAATTTGAATTTGTTTATTTAATTTATTTTATTCATTTAGATGGATCTTAATATGAATAAATGGAGAACATTAAAAATAAAATATACTTTAATTCCTCAATTTTATATTAAAAAAAAAAGAAAAAAACTCATAATGTTTAATTCAAATGGAAATTACATCGTTACTTGATGAAATGAATAAAGTAGGAGATACTACTATTGGTGCTCTTAAAGAAGAAAAAAAAAATGTACCAATTTTAAGTACAGAAGAAGCAAGAAAAAAGTCTATTGATTTAAAAGACAAAAAAGAAAAAAAACAAAACGAAGAAAATGGAGAAAAGAAAAGTTCACATACAAAAAAACCTATTAAAAAGTTATTAAAGTCATCATCTTCTAAAGAAGAAAATGATGGTAAAAGTAAAAAACCAAAATCAACAACTTCAGACACAAAAGATGAAAAGAAAAAAACGATTAAAAAGAAAGTAACGAAAGAAGAAAAAGAAGAAAAAGATAAAAAACGAAAAGAAATAAAGAAAGAAAAGAAAATCACAACAAAAAGTAAAAAAGAAAAGAAAGATAAAACTGAAGAACATGAAGAAACGAATGAAGATGAAAAAAAAGAGTTAAAAAGAAAAAGAACAACAAAAATTGAGAGTAGTGAAAAAAGTCATGAAGAAAAAAAACCAAGAAAAAGTGATAAACGAACTAAAATTATATTATCAGGATTTGATGTTGAACATGACCCCTTTATTGAAGAGATTAAAACCTCCCCATTTTTTAATGTTCAAAAAACTATGGATGACATTAAACTTGTTTTTGTTCATAAATCAATGAGAACAGAAAAAGTGTTGGACGCCATTGTTAAAGGAATTCCAGTTGTAAATGAACAATACTTAGAAGAATGTGTAAAAGAAAATCGAGAAGTTGAAATTGATCCATATTTATTAACCGAAGCTTTTCCTGGTCTTTTAGTCACAAGTCAAGAAAGAAAAAATTTATTTAAAGAATTATCTATTTGCATTTGTGGACAACCAAAAATTCTTGCCACTAAACTAAGTGCTTGGATTGAACGACTTGGTGGTAAAATTACTATCCGACCAAAAGATGCAGATGTAATAATATGTGGACAGTTAAAACATCATTTAACACTAAGAGAAAAAAAGAATGATAATGTTCAAATAGTAGCAGAAAAATGGTTATACGATTCAATCGGTTCAATGAAAGTAATGGATTATAAAAGTTATAAAATTGATGTTGAAGCAATTCAACCTGAAAATGATTAATAAGATGATCAGATTGATTGAAAAAACAAGATGATTAAAAACAATTACGAATAAAATAATTTTTTAAATTAAATTGTTATAATTTTTTGATTTTGAGCTTTGAAATAACAATGATTTTTGAAATTAGATCGAATAGTTTGTAATGTTGACTTTTCAATTTTTTCTTTCAGTAAAGAAGTGATAAAAGAATCAGATAATTTATTTGAAACAGTTTCTATTAATGCATAAGCTTCATCAGCAGAGGTAACTTTCATTAAATCACCTGAAATAGTAAATATTATTAATTAATTGATAATAAAAGAAATAATAAAAATAAAAAGAAGCAGCAAACTTTTTAAGTACTTCAAATAATTAATTGCGATAATATATAAAACATCTTTTCCTTCATACAAATAATAATCCCAAATACGTATAACTAACCTAACAGGAAAAACATCAATAAATAAATCAGCAAACCAAGTAATAAAATAGTTAAGTTCAAATCCTATTGCACTTAATTTATCATATAATATTGCTATTTCTATTTTAAATAAACGAGGAAAAATAAATAATGTTTCTGGCATTTCAATATCTAAGAAGTTACCAATGGAATATTTATCACTTCTTAATTGTCTTAATAATGAAAATGCTACATCCTCACCAACAACACATAACAACAACCCACCAATTTTACAGAGTGATGGTGTAACTACACTTTTGATTTTTTTATTTCTTTCTTCATCACTTAATTCTACTGATTCATCTCCAATAGTCTCATCATATAAGTAAGAAACAACTAATCTTTCTAATTTATATTTTCCTCTTCCTTCAATAAATACTCTATGGTCATTAAAAACATTAAGATTCATCCTAATTTCTTTTAATATTTCTGGACTAATTCGTTTACTTCCTTCTGAAAAGGATTTTAAATATTCTTCATGAACAGCTTTTGTTGATGTAGCATGAGTAAAACATTCCCACATTCTTGCTCGGACATTTGGGTTTAATACACTCAAATGTTTTTTAACCCATTTTTGTTCTTTAGTAGTTGCATTTTTCCATTGTCCAACAATAACAGACCATTTTACATTATCTGAATGTCTTTCTTTACGTGGTGATTGATCAGGATATGATACTTCAAAATTAAATGCATCATACGTATGTGTTTCATCAGTTTCTGGTTCCTCTTCAATATTTAATAGTTGTGCTTTTGCAAAGTGTTTTAATTTTTCTGCGTAATCGTATGGAGTCATTCCATTATTATCAATAGAAACAATAGATGCTCCATTTTGAATAAGATATTTTACTACACTTGGTTCTGCACATGTTGTTGCTGCTGCTACATGAAGTGGTGTTTTACCTTCATTATCAATTGCATTTATATTAATACTAGCATTTTCTGGAATATTTTTATTTTCTTTTCTCATTGAATTTTCAACTATCATCTCAACTAAAATTAAATTATTGGTTCGTGCTGCTAAATGTAACGGGGTTTCTCCTTTTTCATTTTTTGCTCCACAAATACATCCTGCTGTTATAACTGCATGACACAAATCAATTACTTCATATGAATGAAGAGATAATATGATATGTAATAAAAGTGGTTCTTTTATTAAATCTCTATTTTTTTGTAATAACGTCCTCACGGTTTTGAGGTCACCTTTCTCTACTGCATTTTTCAATAGAGTGGTTTTTGGTTCCATTATTTTTATTCTCTTTTTTCTTGTTTTTTTCTCTTTTTCCTTTTTTTAGTTTTTTATTTGTTGTATAAACAAGTTTTCTTATAAATATTATAAATTATTCTTCTGTTTGAAATCTGAGATATATCTCAATAATTGTCCTTTCATTTCTTCATTGATACCATCATTTTCTACTAATAACTGAATTTCTTTCTCAGGTTCATCAATTCCACATTCAACCCATTTCTCACTTTCTTCTCCCTTAATTAATACTTTAAGTATTAGTTTCTCTTTAATAATTTCATTTGGAATTGTTTGAACACTTGTTGCATTGTATTTCGCTTGTAATGAGTTTAATTGATGACGAGCATTTTTGAGCATCATTTCTAAAATATCTATCTGACTTTTAACTGAATCAATTTGGATTTTTAATTCTTCTTTATTTATTTGTTCATAACTCATTAGTAACAAATAATAAATTTTAAAGATTGTCCTAATAATGAGATGAAATGAAAAAGAAAACAAAAAGAAACAACACACATGATCTTTGCGTTAGGAAATAACACAGCAAGAACAGCAATGATTTGACCTTCTTGACATAATTTCATCTGGACTAATTGCTGTTCCACCTCCAACAATAGGACGGTTATTGTTTATTTCCATTCTTCTTGTTGGTCTCCAAGGAGGTGGTTCTATATATTCTTCTCCTGTCTCTTCACAGGTTTTTCGTTTAAGAATTCTTCTGTACATATCAGCACTTTCACAATCATATTTAACACAGTACGTAGGTGGATCAAAAGGGTGAATATCAAAATATTCTTTTGCTCTTTTGTTTCCTCCAAGCCTCATCATTACCAATTGTTGTGGCTTAAAATTATCTAACGTAAGTGACCTAACAAATGAAATATGAACACCATATGATCTATGAATACCAGCACAATTCATACATAAATAAACTCCATTATTTAAAGAACACCATGTAGGGTTATTTTTGCCACAATCAAAGCATTTCTATCAATAAGTATTTTTCATTTAAGATAAACTATTTTCCAAACTTGGTTTTCTGGTTCTTCCATTTCTTTCGAGAAAAAAGAAGTTTGGTCAATTGGTTGCTCTGACATTTTGAATTGAACTTTTTTAGTATTTTCTTTTTTAGAATAACATTTTTATTTTATTTTTTGTTATTTAAACTATTTTTTATTAATTAAAATAAATAGTTTAATTATTATTAATAATCAAAAAACAAAAAAAGGGTTTACAAAAGATCAAAATTAAATCAGACCATGCCACCCAAGGACGCTAAGGGAAAAGGAGCTGCTGCAGGAAAGAAAGGTGCTTTAACTAAACCAAAAAAATCATCTGGAGGAAAAGCTCCAAAGAAATCATGGTCAAAGACTAAAGTCAAGGAAAAGTTAAACAATGCTGTTTTATTCGACAAAGCCACTCTTGACAAATGTACTAAGGAAGTTCCATCAATGAAAGTCATTACACCAGCTGTTGTTGCTGATAGAATGAAAATTACATGTTCCCTTGCTAAAATTCTTCTTAAAGACTTAGAAAAGAAAGAATTAATCGTTCCAGTTAAAGTTGATAATCACATTTGGATCTATACTAGATCAGCTAAACACGCTACTGCTGCCCCAACTGAAGCTGAAAAGAAACCAGCTAAGGGATCAAAGAAACAAGTTAAAGCTTAATTAATATATTGCTTTGAATTAATTTTAATTAAACAAGATTGGTTTCTTTTTATTGATTTAGTAATTAGGGCTTTTTTATTTATGATTAAATCTTATTTTTCTTTTGATTAATGATTGGTATTTGTTGTTGTTTTGTTTTTTATTGTCTTTGTTACTTTTTTCTTCCTCCCTTTAGAATAAAAGTTCATTTTCATTTTCAAATAAATTTTTGGTATTTAACCCTTTCATCTACTCATTGGGTTCCTCATTATATGCCATGTTGTATTATTTGTTCTGAATTATTGTTTGGCTTTAACTGGTATATTTTCTTTCAACAACCACTTGGTTGTATTGTATGGTTAATTGTTTATGTTTTTATTCATGAATTTGGACATATTATAATATTGTTATATCATGGACACCCTTTTGAAATCCAATTTTCATGTTATTCAGTATCTGTTCATCATAACTGTAAAGACCCAATCATTTATTCTTCAGGGATTGTATTTTTGTATCTTTTCTTAAACATTGCATCAATGGTATCATATAATGATTATACAATAATTGGATTATTATTATGTTTAGTAGATTCTCTTCCATTAAAATGGATGGATGGGTTTTATTGTAATTAAACCAAGTTAAATTATTTATTTCACTGAATTACTAAATAGAGTAGATGTTGTTGCTGTAGTGTCTTGTTGAAGAGAGTCAGTTAGTGGAGTATCGTTTATGTCTTTTGTTTGATTTAAGACATGTGTTAATTGATCTATCAACTGATCATTTTCTTCATCAGTTTCATCTTCACTTGATGATGGACTTTTTAAGTCTTCTATAAATTCATCAAACAGTTTATCAAAGTTAGTTGTATTTATATTTCCATTTGGTAGTAAGCCATCTGATTTAGTAACAAACCCATTAATGTCTGAGTCTATTCCAATGACGTCAGTAATGTCATCTTTTAGAATACTTTCTAATTCATTTTGTTCAAGTATTTCTTTATAGTCTTCTATTAAATCTTCTATTTTGACTTCACTGACACTGTCTTCAATTAAAGGAGATGATATTCGTTTTGACTCTTCAGAATGACAATATTCCTTGGTTATTAGTAATTTAAAAGAAAGAAGAGAGATAAACAATCAAACGTCAAAAAGTTTAGTGTATTGAGGAATAAAATGATATTGTGATGATTGTTGATTTAAATTAAGTAAATGACTGAATCCAATAAGTATCATTTTACCTAATACCTCTTGATATGACTGGTTTTCAGTATTTTGTAGTATATAATTATAATATCTATTGAATTGTAACGTCTTCATTTTAAGTTGGCATTGTGATGACTTTCCATATTCTAGTGGAAATTCATTATTTAAATTGATGTCATTATTAATGAATTTATTAATAATTATTCCAAAGAGTTCGTTATGAATATTAAGAAAATTGGCAATTTGGATTGGTAAAAATCCAATAGTGTTATGAATAGAGAATAATTGGGCATGTTTAGTTATAAGATTTAAGATTTTTTTTGTTATCTCTTCATTACAACAATCGTTGTGCATAAGAAATGGATTTATATATGTTAGTTCATTAAAATAAATTGATCCATTTTTAATGAATACTTTATGTGAATCATTTTCAGGAGTAATATAACTAGGAAGATATTCTGAACATTCAGCTAATATTAATTGACCATCCTCATCAAAAACTTCAAAAATTACATTATTATTTTTACTAAATTCAATCAATTTATTAATTATAAACCATTCGTCTTGAATTGAATGTTGTATATTAATAATTGACACCTTTTCTTTGTATTCTTCGTTTTCAATAAAATCCATAAAATGAACAATGTCATGATCAACTTCCCATTCAATAAAATCACCATCATCTCCTTTTTTATAACAATGTATTTCCAGACAATTTACAATACTTTTACATTTTCTCTTATTCTCAATAAGTTGGTTAAATGTTATATTCAATTCATTCATTTTTTTATTATTATTTTAGTAGTTCTTTTTATTAGTAAAAAAAATATTTTAATTATTTAATTTTAAATAAAAGTGGTTTAATGATAATACGGTTGGTTAAATCCTTATTGTGGTGTATATCCATATTGTTGTGGAGGCTGGTTTATTGGGTTATTGTATTGACCTCTTGGCACTTGTTGATAAGGATTATATCCTAGTTGATTTGGTGGATATCCATTTGGTGGGATGTATTGAGGTTGTTGCATCTGAGGACCAACTCCATAATTTGGTTGTTGCTGACTTCTTGGTGGTAGTTGAGGTGGTTGATTTCTTGGTGGTAATTGAGGTGGTTGATTTCTTGGTGGTAATTGAGGTGGTACTTGAGTATTTTGTTGGCTTCTTGGTGGTAGTTGAGGTGGTTGATTTCTTACAGGAAGTTGAGGTGGTAGGTTATATGTTTCGTTTGGTTGTTGAGATGGTTGGTAAGCTACTTGAGAAGAAAATGGAGGTTGTGTAGATTCAAGATATTGTGGGATTGGCTGTTGTTGATAACTTCTTTGAGGTACAGGTGGAAATGTTTGATCAATACCTGAGGATGGAGGTTGTTGATTGTTTCTATTTTGGTATGTACGTGATGGTACAGTAGGTGGTAATGGATTATAACCAATTTCTTGAGGCATTGGTTGAGAAGGTATTTGAGGTGTGAATTGTTGTCCTATTGAAGGGGGTATTTGACTAGGAAGGTTTGATATGTTTTGGTTATTACTTTCTTGTTGAGATTTTAATTGAGCCAATTGTTGAGGGCTTGGTTGTAAAGCAGCAAAGTCATTATATTTCATTGGTTCCATACCCACAACATAACCTTGTTGATGGGTAAGTGGGATGTAACCACATTTATAATTTAGTTGATATTTTGACTTTGGTGTTTCTAAACTAAAGTTCTTTTTAGGTTTTGAAGGATTAGAAGGATCTTCTACTTCAAGAGAAATTCCTTCAATTGATGGAATATCAAACCCATCACTTTCAGGTTGAGCTGGAACATTACCAAGAGCTTGTTCAGTATATTGAGGTGGGACTTGATTGATTGTGTCGGTATATTGAGGTGGAGGATTATTTATAGAAGGTTGTAAAGGAATTTGTTCTATACCAACAGGGATATTATAAAAATCTGGATTTATACTTCTCAAGCGTTGGAGAAGGATACTAACTCTTCCTCCATCATCTAAACCAATATTTAGAGTTGATTTTATTTCAATATTTGGTAATTTAAATTTTCCTTTTCCAACACTTGACCCTTCACGAGAGAATAATGCTGGGTTTTTATTTAAAATTTCAAGATCACAAAAAGCACCTTCTTGATAAGTGATAAGATAAGACTGATTAAAAATGACAATTCCTTTTGGACAGTCAACATAATAAGTAGAATAAACAGAACCATTAAGAGTAAAACTACAATACGGATAAAATTTTTTTTGACTCATCAATGATAAATCAGAAGCAGAAAGGATAGTTATCATATATTTTCCTTGATAACTAACATTCTTAGGAATTAAACTGGTATTTAAATTCCAATAAATACTTCTTAAACAAGTAACATTTACATCAATTACTCCTGACGGCAGTATTGGAGCAAGGTATTCAATTGATTCAGTCTCAAATAAATCAGGAACTTCAAATGTAGTTGTTCCTAATGAATATGACTTATCCCTACTTGGTTTAGCAAATACTTCAAATTGAATTTGATCACCAACAGTAGTTTCAACATAAAGAATTTGATTAAGTAATGTATTTGTACAATCAGTTTTACCGTTGGGAGTTATTGGGACTAATGTTTGAGTGTCAGTAGAATTACTCTTAACACTAACAGTAAACTGATATCCTTTAGTAGAAATTTTCTTTGATATTTTATAAAAACTATCAAGTAATCCATAGAGTTTATTAAACTTTAATTCTAATAACATTTTAGCATTTGGACTTATCATTTGTCTAATAATTTGACAACCTCCAGAAATACATTTTGCAATGATATATAAATATCCTTTTACATCTATTTTTAGAATATGATAAGTAGTTTCTCCATTATTCATTGCTGGTACCTTCCATTCTGCTTTTCCAAGTGGGTCATCACTCCCAACTGTGTCATGATCAAATAACTCAAATACTACAGTCTCTCCAATATTATATTTAACATCAAATTTCTCATTCCAAATTGGGTCAAGTGTACAATCAATAATTTGTGTTTTTAACTTTTTACCTTCAGAGGTAAATACTACATATGGGTCTGACGTATAAATATCTCCAATTTCGACATTTTTAGCACAAAATATGTTAAGTTCAATTTGCATTTAATTTATAAATTTTATTAGTTCTTCAATGGAATTAATTGATATGATGAAAAAAACGAAAATTCAATTCCTCATTTAAAATTTTACAAAAAAAAGGAACTAAAAACTAAAAAAAATAAAAATGTTTCCAAATATAGATTTAGGGAAATTACCACCAAAAAGTGATAATATTGATGAAATGTTAGAAATTGAACACGAAATGATAGTTAACGCACTCACCTATTTTCCTAACTCTTTTACCTTTAATATTGAACCTAACTCAGAAAAACACACAATAACAATTAAGGGTTCATACTGGGACGCTGGTTGTAAAATTGGTTTAACTGTTTGTGGATGGAAAAATGGTTTTTACAAAGATTGCTTGTTTTCTCCAGATGAATCAAATTTCGAAAAGACATTTTCTTATATTGAAGATGGATATTATGATGCATTAATAATTAGAGATGATGTTATTAAAAGAAAAGAAGCTTTTTATATTGGAAAACCAATTAAATTTAAAGTAACTCAATGTTTAAGTAACGCAGTTGATATAGAAATTGAAAGGGCAAAAGAAGGTAGTTGTATTGTTATTTATAAAGATTCAACAATTATTAAAACAAAAAGAATTCTTGTTGGAACAACAAAACTTAGAGTTAAGTTAAATAAAGACGACAACGCTAAACATATTTATGTCTTTAAATATTACCAAAATTGTTTTACTCGCATTGATAAAAATGTCCCATATAATGCGTTAGAAATAGTAATTCTCTAAACTGTATTTATAGTATCATTTTCTTTATTTATTTTCTCGGTTAAATTAAAAAAGTTCAATATGGAAGAACGAAATAGCTCTAAAATAACAATAAAATCAATTGATAATTGTGTTCATAATGGTCATTGAATATTCTCATTAATAGTATTTATTATTACTTTATTATTTATTTTTATGTTTTTATTTGAGTTGAATGAAATAAATTTATTTATTATTTATTTTCATACAATAAAATAAAAAGAGTTTATGTTATCAATTAATACAAATATTTAATGGACAATTTAGATACACTACAATGAATTTAATTGTTCTCTCTTTAATAAAACATTAATCAACATTTTATTCAATTAATTGAATGAAGAAACAAATAATAAGTCCATTTAAAATGAAGAATAAAAAATATATTATATAAGCATCATTTAATAATGAACAACAACAATAAATATAATATACCAAAATGAAATATAGGTGATAATAAGAGAGATAACAAAACATATCAAAATAGAAAGAAAATTAATAAATGATTATATTTATTTAAAACTATCCAATATATCATCAATAAAATGAATTAATAAATAAGAAAATATAATGATATAAATAATGAAATGATTAACATTTAAGACACATTCTTAAATTGTACAACATTAATATAAATCATAACAAGAATTAATAATATGAGGAAAATTTGAATAAGTATTAAATTAACATTTGTAATGATATTTAATTTAAATAGTTCATGAAGAATTATTGACATTTTATTTTCATCTCTACAACTTTGTTTTTTAAGTAACATTTACATATTTATTCT